TCTCAAATCTAAAAGGTGCTTTACTAGTCTTCTTCCTCCGCTTAGTACTTTTCTTCTTCTGCACATGATAATCATAAACAATAGCAGCCAGAAAACCACGAAACTCGGCAAGGGTAACACAGTCAAGCCTGGGGACAATTTCTCTCTCCGGCATACGGATGAGATCACGAGGAAACTCCTCATTAGCAAAGTCGAATGAAATAACAAAAAGATCCTGATCCTTCTCGGTGGGATCCACTGCTAGCCAATAATAAAAGCCATTGACGTGAATGTGAAGCGAAGGATGTTGCATGGATTCGAGCTGGGGATCATGGGGAAAGGGAATTTGCTTCCACGAACAAGTTTCGAGCGAGAAGAGCTCCGCGTGAGCTTCGTTTTCGCAACGGAAATGATTGAACACGCGACACCTAACCACCTTATATTCTCCTGATACAAACCCGATACCGTAACCCCACATGGACGTGATAATTGGGCAAGGCACGCGCGGGGCAGCCTCAAAAAAGGGAAGGGTTACAAGCACGTCGGTCCTAGGGTCCCACAGAAGCTCCATCGGACTTCCCGGATATTGGGTACACATCCACAGCATCCAAGTGGAGCAACTTGCTAGAACGTGATACTTGGCATACAGACAAACGGGATCGTAGTTTTGCGCTTTGAGTAGAGACAAGTTAGGAAGACTGTTCTCATCTTGTAACACTTTGAACTTGTTGTTTTCGGTTGACAACACAAAGTAATTGCGGGTCCACTTGTGTAGACACTGCACCATAAGCATAAGATTATTATTGTTGTAGTTGCGGCTAAGCGGCCGCTGAATAGCACTAGCAACGACATTACTGGCACCCGACGGGAGATTTATCATCGAGGATTTGAGTTTGGAGTCGCCGTTGGCAACATATGGGGTGACATCCAGACCCAACAAGTCAACATGGATACCGAGCTTCTTCAGTTCAGTACTCACAATGTCGTATAGCAGCAGGTCACCATCGGAGCTCCAAAGAAGCAGTTTATAATTATTATAGAGGCCCAATACGCAATGAGCATGGTCTGCAGCCGGGACATTCCTTGAGGACACTCTAGACCATTTGGGGGCCTTCCACACCCAAAGCTCGAACATAAAAGGCTTTGTTTCAGCAGCAATAGCGATACTATTGCTTTCCGACGCAAATTCACCATCCTTGGAAATAATTACAGCAAGCGACCCATCTATCTCAGCAAGAATATATTCGCCCTTCTCTTTGAGTAGACGCTCATCACTCGTGGGCATAGGGATTAGAGCAGGGATAAACTCCTCCTTAGCAAAGTCGAAGGAAATAATTCCAGTAGGCATAGCTTGCCAATAATAAACTCCATTGATGTGAAGAGATGGTAGTTGAACAGGATTATAATAGGGGTCATAAGGATACGGAATTTCCTTCCACGAACCACTTGCGAGCGACAGCAGCTCAACGTAGATCTTCTCTTCGTGAGTAACATCGTCGTCATCGGCGTCTCTGGCACGACATCTGACCACCTTATACCCGCCCCCTGAAGGATCAAACCCGAATCCGTATGCCCACATATACGTCAAACCAGGAGAAGCCAAAGAAAAATACGGAAGGGATTTCATCTCGTCGGCCGTGGGATCCCAGAGGACGTCCCATGTATATTCATCGTGTTTCGTACATGTCAACAGCATCCATGAGTCGCAAGTCGCTAGAACTTCATAACTGGCATTCTTAAGAACGGGATTGTAGTTGTCAGCTTTGAGCCGAGACAAGTTTGGAAATGGAAGATGATCATCATCGTCTTGCAGCACTTTGAAGGAGTTGTTTTTGGTTGAGATTACTAAGCAATCGAGGGCTGCCTCACAGCTGAGATTCTGCACCACCGAGCAAAGGGGTGCCCCATAGATGACATGCTGCACCAAAAACATCAAATTGTCGTTGCAGGGAGCGTGGGGCTGCTGACCTTTAGCCATCAATACCTAAACTAGAGAGTAGCAGAGGGACGTCGATTTCGATTTTGGGTGTTAGGGTTTCGTAGTCCTCCTCTTCTTGTGGAGGATGACGTTTGTATCTTATACTTATATGTGGTATTTTTTTAATTCACGTCACTATGCATATTTATTTATTTGGGAAACACTACAATCCCGTGAGGGAATGATTCCCTCAAATCAATATAAACCATTAAATGTGTTAGTTTTTATATGGACTCTTAGATGTGGTAGTTTTTATATGAACTCTTACATGTGTTAGTTTTTTATTGGAGTTTGATATGAGGGAATGGTCCCGTTACGGGATTGTAGTATTTTCCTTATTTATTACTATATAATACGATTAAGAAAAATTATTCAAACAAACTTGAAAAAATTTATTTCGTTTTCCCGCTTTTTTTATGTTGTTTTTCCGTTTTTGTATTTCATTTTGTACCATTTTCGAATTTTTTTTTCTTGCTCATGCAATTTGTTTGAAATAATCTATCCATGCAATTTGTTTGAAATCCGCTCATTCAGTTTGTTTAAATTAGATACCGGATATTGTTAATTAAGATGATAAAATTTTGGTAAAAAAATCGGATATTGTTAACTAGTGCATATCCCGTGCGATGCACGGATGAGCTAAAATTTTAAACCTTTTCTAGACCTTATTTTAAATATCATTGTTTATAATATACATTAATAAACACTTCTCTTTAGACAATATTTATTTATTTAAGGAGTATTATTAAACCTTGCAGTTTTGATTTTTTTTTTTTGTAAAAAAAAAAATCAATTATTTAATCAATGATTGTTAATGTGCAAAAAATAATGGAAAGAATCCACACTTTAAAATGAATCTATTTTTTATTTTTATTTTTACACATCAAAATCATATAATTTTTTAAGCACTTTCATATGTCAATTTTAATGTTATTTCATACCAATTTATTCAATGATTAACCATAGTCAAATAACTTATCGAATTAAAAGAGAAATCCAAATATTATCTTATATCAAATTTTTTTCTTTCTATTTTAATTTAATTTATCAAAAAAAAAATAATAGAAATT